TAAAAAAAAGTTTTTTAAAATTTGATTATTGATGAAATTATTAAGTATTAAGTTGCACTTTATAGGACAATATATAACCTTGTTTTAATTATTTGATATATTGTAAAAAGATTTGTAATAATTGTAATTAAAAATAATATGTGCAAAATCTGATACTATCTTTGATATTTGATTTATATTCATTATATATAATTATATATGATTTACATTCATTATCATAATTACAAATACATGCATGCTATTAAAAATATTGTTATATATTAGTTAAATATTGTTTTGCTATTTTATGAGAAAAATTACGAACTCTGTTTTTCTAACATTATTACGGTGGCGGTGACAACAAAATCCAGAAATATTATGAAGAAAGAAAAAGTAAATTTACGCTGCTTGATATGTAACGTGTAGTGTATGAGAGACATGTCTGAGGTAATATTTCTTTATCTTTTTACATTTCTTTCTGCCTTTATAACAGCGCTTTGCAATCCGTTACAATATGGTGTGCAGCAATTTCAGCATTCTCCTAAATTGTATCACGTCATAGAAATTCCAATGTCCAATGATTTTCGAGCGACTCTAACAATTGTAATAATTTGTCTGAAGGTGCAAAGCACCGCCCAAATCCTGGCTCGTATCCGATAATTTCAGAACATTAATATCTCGTGTCAGGATAATCGATTCGGCCGATTCATTAATATCGTGAACTCGCAGACCGTCGACAACGGTCGACGGACGTTGACCATGACATAAAGCATGAACGCCACGTCCACGGGAAGTGGTTGCCAACTCGTCGTCTGGAGCCGGAAAGAGAAAGATTCGTCTTCGCTCTGTAATTCCCTCGTTCTACCTTCGTGCACTTAACCCATTTTTGTCTCGAGATCCTGCCTACCCGGAAAATACGAGCCGGCGGTGGGAACGAGAGGGAGCTTAACGATCCGCGGATTCTCGACCGATTACGGACCATTTTGCGATGGAGTACGGAAGCGGACATACGCTTTAATGCGTGCTATAATGTACGCGCGAAGAGATCGGAACGATCTCTCGGTCGAGAGATCGTCGATCTTTCAGTCTCTCATCTTTCTATACGGATGAGTATGCTTGATCCAAGCCGCGGATCGCACCGCTTTGTTAATAACGACGCGTAATTTATTGACGTACAATTAATGCGCCATTGCTCAGAGAGAAATCACTTAAAACAAGAAAAAGAAATGCAAGGGCAGAATTTCTTGACATAGTGGAAATATTGCACGACGTGACCGCTTTAGGGATCGTCACTTGAACTGGGTTAATGATCGCAACGAGAGATGATTTATAATGTTTAAGCCGTGCATTCATGGTAATAGAAGGTGATTTTTCAATGCTTTAGAGACAGTAGATTAGGCAAAGCAATAATTTCTAATATCGGTTCTTTCTCGGTTCATATTAAAATATTAAGATCCCTAAAGACGTGACCTAAATTACACGAAAATGACGGAGTGATTCAGCATCATCGCCGCTTTTCATCCATGCGACAGGTCGTTTGATGAATTTGGAATCAATTTTTCATATAACGAGTTTCATATAACGAGTCTCCACGGGAGCCATCATTTGTAATCTTTCAATGTCGCACACGCGATATAGAGTCTCATTGTAATATAATAATAATAAATTTTAATTTTAATTAGAAATAAAAGACGTCGTGAATTCTGCATTCTTTAAAACTGAACATCTTTAAGAATCACTAATTATTACTGATTAAATGTTATGCAAATCAAAATAGATTTTGATTCTTAAGATTTATCATCACTCATCGTTTCTCAAAAAGAAGGCGCAAGTTTCTTTGAGAACATTCTCTCAGGATCTGACTGATTTAATCGGCATGCCTTTAATTTTCTCGATTTAGTTGGGTCTTAAACGCTCGACTTCTCAGTAGAGCTCTAGAGAATCGGTGAAACGACTTACGACGTCGAAACTAGAATCCAGAGTTTGAACATAGATAGAATTAAAGTAGGATTATTGGACCTGAAATTAGTTTAGTAGAGGTTTTGAAGGATTCTTACTATCGCGAAATAAAAATTGCTTCGGTTTGAGTCTTTTGGGAAAATACTTGTTTCCTTTTCGATGACCTCTATAAAAATTTTCAATTAACAGGAAGAGAGCACTATATACGATATATAAAAATATAAAATCATTATTAATGAAATAAATTTTTATTAAAAATTTTTTCGTCATTTTAAACGTAGATAATAATATTTAAATTTTATCTTTATATAAGAAAGACATAAGAGAAAATAATTTTGCGACACGGTAAGATTTTTTATTTTTCTTATCGATGGTGAGAAACCACTAAATACGACTGGCAGAATACGGCGTAAAAAAAGAGATAAAATAAGCAAGTGCACCCAATGGAAACAAGGTCGGAATTCTCTGGCCTCCTCGTAGGATGGCTCTGGCTAATGTCAAGATAAATGCGATTTCCTGAAAACGGGAAACATCGGGCAGGGGTATTGCGGGGGCGCAAGTAGAAAAATATTGTTTGCCGCGAAAACTGGGGCGCACATCCTGAAGAAGGGTGTTAGTAGTGGTTCGACCACGAAGGCGTCACGCCAGTGGGGATTGAGGTGGAAAAAGCCAGAAGCGCGTCGGCTCTCATGCCGGAGTAGCTTGCCAAAATTTTCAAGGCGTAAGGTTCGTTTTTAGAGCGGAATTACGGGGAGGAAGCTTTTAAAATAGGGTTACTTAAATTGGGTCACAAGGATCCGTGACTCAATGGAATAGCGTGGCGAAGTCTATAATATACGATTCTCTCGATGCATTTTCATATAATTATTTATTCATAATGATTTCGAGCGTTGTCCTCTTTTCTTTTTATCCGTTATTTCTCTACAAATTCGAAAAGTAATTCTGAAGTAAAAGAGAATTTTAAAAATATTCAAGAGAAGAAACGCACTTTTTGTTAATGCAATTTCTTAGGAAAATACGAGTGCTATAATTCTAGTAGAGAAAATTTATATTCCTCACTTTATATTTCTTTACGCGAAATTGAAAAGTGAACAGAAAGTGCGAAACATTTATTATGCAACCTTGAAACTTTTATGTCTTTAATAGCCATTAAACTTTTCCACCGCAGTAGCCATACAAAATGCAAATTTATAGAAGTGTATACGCAAGTAGCTCGATTGTTATCACTCGGCGATGCTCGCCCGCGAGACAATTATGCTCGAAATATTCACGATCGTTTATTGAACACTATTCTCTTCTCGAATACATAACGATTTTTCTGAAATTCCATTTATTCGGAGGATCGCGACAGCGACGCCCGTGTTTGCATTCTACGTAGATATTGTTGAGCTTTCGCGACTATTTTCTGAGATTGGGAGATCGGGAATAGAGCCGGTGTTGCCGTCGCGATCGCTCAATGTCTAGCACATAGCTTTAGGCCAACGAGGACAACCTCAGGAGCTCGTTATCGTGGATGAATTCAATCCATCGCAGATGACAGTGAGCGACAGCGAATTCAAGCGACGCCGGCTAAGCCGCGTTCGGACTATCCATCTTGCTTCGGACAGTTGTATCTCCCGGTAATATCAAAGATACCGATCCAAGGAGGCACCAATGCCGCTTCCACCAGCGGAAGTTGCGCGTCTTTTCACGGATATCGGCTGGTTTACGGTCATTTCTCCCACGACTAACAATGTAATCATGTTACAGGTCGAACACATCGATCCACCGTGTATTCGAATCTTTGGGACGAAACCTGGTAGTAGCCAAGATACAAATTTAATAGACTGTTATAAGTTATCGCAGCGCGAAATTGCCACTCAGTAAAAATAAGGCGATACATTTCTACGGAATACGGAATATGTATTCTGATAAATATTTAGACAGATAAAAGACTTTATTACTTTATTAAGCACTTTGAAATTTATAAAGTTATGTTATGAAAACTTCGTTAGAAAAAGTTTCAAATATTTGCAATAATATATGTCAACAACATTTCACATACGTTTTGATAAATGATAAGGCATTTTGTTATTACAACTCATAGAGCATCTGCCAAAAATGCTATCTTGCGATCAATGCATTTCATTTTCATTTTGAGATAAATAATTTCAATCATATACATTATGTCGGTAAAATATTAGCTGAATTGTTTAAGATATCTAGTTCTCGTTTTAACGGCTTTTATTAGTCTATACATTTCATTTGAACAGGCGGTATTCCGAACCTCCAGCATTAGCACTTTCCCAGCTATGTCCCTGCGATATTTTCATTCTGCCTTTGGCGATAGTTTCTGTGACCTCGACACGAATATATTTGGCATCTCCACTTTAATAGATAGATAATATATCGGTAACGGAACTCGTCGATTTTTCCTCATGCCAACTGTCCTCGCGTTCATGCTCATTTACTTCAAGATGCCTCCCATGTGAATCTTCCATGTTTCAACAAATTCCAACAGATTTGGAAACTAGTTTACGAGTTGCTGCCCTTTCGCGAGAATGCACTTGGGAATCTTAAACTCTTGCATAAAGTTCTTCGGTATATCTGCTTGCAAGCTTTATAATTTCATTGCGCAATTTACCAAAGAGAACATGAACTTGAAGCGAACAAGGAATTGCGTAAAACATAAAGTTTCAAACGTGTCTGGATTATCCTATATTATCTCTATTCGACAACGAGCAGTTTGCTTAGTATTGACAGCGTGTTGATACATAAACGCGAACTTCATTTCAATCTTGTATACAAAGTTGTTGAACTTAAAGGAGAAAACGCCAAAATTGCATTGATATGATATTTCCTTTAATATTATCGACTGTAAAAGGCAACAAATAATATTTAATTTGCAGAATGTCAGTTTCGCGATTTGTGCTGCGTAAACACAATCTTTGTACGAATTATTTGTCGATAATAATGTTTCTTTTTTACGGAATTGTATGCTTTTTCTCTTTTTTTCATTATCGCCAAACAAATTGCTTGTCGATTTAAAGTACATTTACAAAGCGAATAAATTTGACCCTTACCCTTTCTATATGGCCGCCACTAACGACCTCCGGCGTGTTAACACAGACTACTCTTTTCAAGCGTAGTTTGTTAACGTGAAAGGCCGAGCCGTAACAATACATCAACACCATCGTCGTCGGGAAGTAAAAACAGCAACATGCCAGGATCCTGAAAAAGGAGATATGATAAAAAGCATTTTCCGGTCCAGAAAAGCAATAATTAGCGCATCACACGCGAGCAGAAATATAAAGTGGCGCGGCGAAGATAATATCACGCGAATGCAATAAAATTGTATTCATACAAGCGGATTACGCGAAATCTGATGATACGTGCAATGAAAGTTTATTAGTAATATCTATAACGCGATAGAAACAGTTTCGCTATGCATTTCGCATTTTAACTTTCTCTACCATAAATTAATGTAATTAATACACTTTAGTGTTACTTTGTGAGAGTCGACTTTACCCCGACTGCGTTTAAATCATCTTTTTATATTTGTTCCAGCAACGTTTACAAAAGGCCGTGATATAAATGGATAACTCGGTTTGAACTAATGCGTGGTGGGATAGTTTCTAAGCTACCAACGCCAACGACGATAAAAGCCTTACGACAATTCAGACAGACGCTATTTAGCTCCACGGTTTAGATCAAACGTTAAGGGTACCGGAAGGGAACATTAACGTGGATATATCGCTATCTTTCACGGTTGATCGCCTCCGTGTTCCGTCAAGACGATCGACCGCGCAACGACATTCTCGACATTAAATTGTAATTGTCCACAATTGGTCACCCGGCCTGTGGCGAACGAACGCGGCGAGAGAAAGATCGTGAAATGTCAAACTTATCACCGACGTTCACTGTGATACCTAAGGGACGCCCTCGCGAAGAAAGGGTCGCAGGCTAGGAGGCCAGACCCGTTGAAGTAGTAACCGCCCCTTGGGAGTACCAGAACCCCGAAAATTGCCACGCTCGCTATCCAAGTGGTTGACATCACTGCCACGCAGCCTTGCCGCATGTAATACTGTGTCAACATAGACAGAAAACGATCAGTCGTTTCTTTCTCACTCGTTTATGGTGTATGCATATGTACATATGTGCATACGTGCATATGTGCATACGCGCCCGTTTATGTATTTTTATCGACCAATACTGGGGTTTGTTTGCACACATTCCGCATTTGATAGCGCGGTGTAGGATGGGTCGTTTGCTCAAATGATTACTGTGTGATGTTTTTTATCGGAAATCTCAGGGATATTGCAAATCTCAAATTGAGACATCAATGTTTGTATGAAACATCTAATATTAGTATATAATAAAGCACACTGATGAATAAATGTTTAATAAATATATAACGCAATTTCTATGATCAAGGGAAATGTGTGCAACAGCCCCGATTTAATATAAATGTATTATATTGTAAATATTAAAGAGAAGAGAAAATAGTTTGCCGTTTCTCGAAAATATGTGTGAATATTGAATTAAATATATATTCTAAATTTACGTATTTTGTAACACCGTTTAATTATATTTATTATACATAAAAATAAGAAAAAGATGAGAAATATATATTTATCATTAATATTATAAAAAATTATATATAAAATTATAAAAGTTAAATTTACATGGTATTTCTCTCTAATTAGAATTTAAAAATTTTATTAATATTAAAAGTTAACTTTTAAAAATATTGATTACATGTTCCTATACTTTTGCATTACACCTTTAGTGAAGTAATTTTTTACCTGATTAAATCTTCACAAGCAAATAAAGAAAAGTTCCATGGACCAGTTTTATCGACGGCCCACTTTTACGGCACAAACCCGGTGTGTTAAGTATTATCGAGATTAACCTCATTCTGATCTCAAAGAACGATCAATGAAATGACACTCGACCTTACTATTCTCTGCGGAGTAAGAATCGGTACTTGTGTTAACGTCTTCTTTTTTCTTTTGTTACAAACAATATATATGATCAAACAATATATATGATCTGTGTACTTAAAAAGATTGTTAAAAGATTTAAAAATATATTGAAAGCGCATTGAAATTTTTAACACGATATTTATTAAAAATATTACAGAAATATCAAAATACTTTAGATGATAAATGTTTAAAATAAATGTTTACTAAAACTAAAAAACAATATACTTTCTTTCTTTACCTTTTTTACTCGAGAAATATAAGATAATACCACAAAATATACAAATTTTGTATGCAAATACATTTAATTTAAGACACATATTCTTGAATAAGCAAACTTTATGGTTTACTCTTTGTGTTTCCTCTTCTTCATGTTTAACTTTAAAATTTACAATTCATCAGCACGTAAAAGCTTTTATGTGCTCGCATAT